TTTCCACAATTGAAGAAGCGGTGTTTAAGTGAAATATAGCCAATCAATCTTCATCTAACCGAGCTTTGATGGAATTTGGAAATATGATTTTATTCGCTATTAGTTCAGGTCCAGATAGTGAAGCAGCTCAACTTCCTTTACTTCTTTAGATGAAGGGAAAGAAATAGAACATATTCCCGTGCTAAGAATTTGGTTTAGTTCGACTGAGTGCGCATTCAATTGCTGCCATTTTTATCAGTACAGCTCCCTTTCGACCTCTTTCTGTCATCCACATTCATCCCTCGCCACCTTGACCGCTTGCCAGTGATAATTGCAGCGAAGTTGGAGAGACCTGCATTCAGACGCTCTTATCATTCCAAGTCATTCGTTATCAGTTCATACTGCTCGCAACCGGTGTCCCTGTCCCGCCTTCTAGGCAACGTGTAGGAGCTCAAATTTATTGTCACCGAAGGCTCCAACGAAATTAGCGGTGCTCAAGATCCTAACCTCCTTATCAACTGTTATCGCCTCTTATCGGTTTTGATCACCCGCTATCCGTGTTCCCGTCCCATTCCCTAGACCACATGAGAGAGCCAAGGTTCCCATGTTAGCGCGAGGGCCGCAACGAAACTGGTTATATCCACACTTTGACGCCGCTTATCAGTTCTTATCAGTTGCTACCACATTCTTTCGATCAAATTCTTAGTCCCCGCCTCACCCCACATATCATACATGAGTGCAAACTCTCCACCGTCGACGGGAACGGCGTAACGAAATCGGTGACATCAACATTTTGACGTCCGTTATCAGCTCCTATCAGTGGCTATCACTTCCCGCCACCTACTATCAGTGTTCACGCCAAACCCCCTCCCTATCCTAGAAGTTTGAGCGCTCTGGGTCCAAAGGGAGTGAAGTTATGAATTTCCGGTCGACACACACACACACACAACGTTAGCGATTATATTAGTGGATAAGCTATATACTTGAACCTACCAACTGCTACCAATTGCCGTGGGGAAAAGTGAATCCTCTCGTTATCAAACGCCTTATATACAGAAAAATTTGATTCCATTATCCTTATCACGATTAAGACCAAGCACATATACACGATAAGGGTTTTTTCATCAAAGCAAGCCGAGCTCACCCCAGGTAAATTCTTCATCACCCGAGTGTAGTGGTTTGCATGCTGTTGGGACGATATTTTCGTACTCTAAAAACTTTTTATTAAGTCGAGCTGCATGCCATTTATAGCGTCGAGCCCACACATTTTCGATTTGTCCTTTTTGTTGAGGCCTCATACAAGAAGCGTATAGTAAGAGATGATCGACGCTACACATGCCATCAATATCATTTGAAATACATAGTGTGTTAGAATGAGCAATCTGGACCCACTCGTACCATGCATTTGCCTTTTTATCGAATTCTCGGACCGACGGCCCACCTGACCCTAGACTTTCTCCTTCAATTGAGATCGGTCAGCAACGCGTTTTTCTGAGGAGAGAAAAACGCCCTTTTGAAAAAGCAATCTTTTTACACAAGATATTGGTTGTCCCAAAAGTTCGTGCTACTTTTGAACATTTTCTGGCATGATCTCAACAAAAAGCAATAGCCACCATCAATATACGTACAGTCGATATCTCAAGTCTGATTGGGCGTATCACCGGAAATGACGTGGCAGCCACCGCACTTGATAGATGTTGTGTGGATAAAATGCTCCGCCAGATATCAGCAAAGCGTGTTGAAAACAGCTTATCCGGGCAACCTCTATCAAGTGCGGTGGCAGCCACGTCATTTTCGGTGACACGCCTAATCAGAATTTGAGATCTCGACTGTACCATCACTATCAGTGAGTTGTTGCCAACGTATCTTCAAAAAAGGTCTGCAGTATCAAGCTGGTGAAAGCAGCGACGTCGATTTCGAGATCCTTCTTTGAGTCGTATTTTTTGCCCGCAAGATGTCCGCTCAGCAAGAAGAGTAGTTGGCCTCAGGCCTAGTAGAGGCTGATCACTGCTGTGTGGTGGATCTGACGGGACGTCTCAACTTAGCTTCAAAATCTAGAGCGATGTCATTCTCGAAACACGTGGTTTTAGCAGCTTCAAATCTCGACTACAGCAGAGCTGACCCGGAACAAGGCCGAAGTTCTGAGTATCTGGCTTACGATTTGATTTTATAAGTGAGCCGAAATGTTTTGCTGAATTTGACAGTTCTTCAGCCCCTTCGTATTGGTACTGCCACTTTTGCTTCTGCTGGCGGTCAGTATAGAACGACCACCTTTGAGCAGCAGTAGCGCCGTTCTTCAGCCACCGCGTCTGGATGGAACGGTATAGAAGATGTTGACTGAACTCATGTCATACTCATGTGTTACCGATCATTTCATGAGGATTTCTTTGTGCATTCCTCTACAAATTCCCAATAGAGAGCAGATCTCTTGCAACCGTCTTCCTGAAAGGTCTGTGTGTGGCGGCCACATAGCAAAATAAATCGTGTGGGTTGCCTCCAATAGAAGAGCTTAGCAGGTCCAAACCAAACATGGAATACCTTTCCGAGTCAGGATTTTCTGAGGCTGTTGTCCGCACAGCGAAACAGGTTTAAATATTTTGACACCGCATGGTAGACTATGACAAGGAGATGTACTGCAGAGAAAATGTTGCTCCTGCCTTCGACCGGTTTGTGGCTCAGCGGAAGTTCATAAATCGAAGTGTAAAGAACACGGCCCTCTTTTTTGCAATCTCGAAATCGAGCAGCTAAGCACGCGTAATGAGTTATGGCATGAGGTGCAAAAAAGTGGCTCGAACTTATGGGACAACCAAACGAGAAAGCTCAAGAAGCAGAGTACTGCTTGGTGGCTGCAGCGGCTCCATAAATGGACGTCTTAGCTACATAAAAGAAGAGTGTCTAATTTTCATATCACAAATCGTACGCACGCGTCTAATTGAGTAGTGCAGTGGATTGTAGGAGTGGAGCGTGCTCGCTAACATCTGAAAAATGCTCCACTCAAAATATCCGGTCTTGTGGTTGTTATCAAAATCACGAATTCACTGTGAAAAAATACCTCAACAGTGATTTGGATTATCCTAACTATAATACCAGCGCCTTAGCGGTGATTGGTGTGTGTGTGTGTTGACCGATAAATTCATATCTCGAGTCACAGTGACGATAGCGCAGTGGTCTTACCATGTATCGGGGTGGATGGAACACAATGGTACTGATAGGAACTGATAACGACTGATAATTACTTATAAGAGGGCTAGCAAAGCGAGCCATCGCCAACTTCGGTGTGCCGCCATATTGGTAAAAATAGCTCTATACTTACAAGTCTTATGTGGGGCTGTCCGCGAACATTGGTTTATATGATTGGGAGGATAGACCGATAATGATGATAAGATCGCCAGGATACGCTGAGAGGTCGTCGATTCCGTTGCTGTGGCTCGCGTATGAACCAGTAGGAACCATATTACAGTGGTTCTTAGATGGGACAGGGGACATTGTTTGTAGGTCCGAAACTGATAATGTTTGATAACGGGTCGAGTAATGTGAAGCCAGAACGTCTGAAGTCGTCCCAAAAACCTTACAACTGCATCGAACGCTAAACAAGTCTTCCAAGATAAGTTTCATTTCTGATGCACTCTTAAGAACCCCCCAAACTCAATTAAACGCTAACCCATTCGGAGCCTAAATAATGGGATGTAAAAATGATAAGCATAGCCTCCCTAGTGAATAAGGCAATTCGTTTTTATTTGAGGCGAGACAAAAATCCTATTCAGCTCACCGCTCATTATCCGAATTCAAGAAAAAAATGCTCGGAGTATACAGAGTTGCGCTCAATATCGCCAGTTAGCTCCAGACGTTATCAACGCGTATTTCTCGAATGACTTCACTGAAACTGGGCAGGTCATAGATCAAGATAGTGAGATCGTAATCCACCTATCCTCATTTGGTTCCTCTACAGCCGCCTTGGGTGATACCACTATCAAGACATCACGTTAGAATGGCTCAAAGGCGGAATTGACCTCAGTCATTGAACCGATTGTTACCCTCCCTCTTTCCTGTTTGCCCTCCTCTTCCCCCACTCCCCTCCAACTACCACGGCAGCACCATCTACGTTAACCGAGCGTGTGGTCGATGGGTGTTTGTATAGCGGTCGTAGGTACTCGGTTCACAAATATGACGTCGGAGCACAGACCTTACCAGGAATGTCTTTCAGGACGTGCCAAGCTTTTTGAAAACGGTCTTTTTCATGATATAGGGGCAGATGCGAGAACCACAGATCCATGGTTCATATTTCCTGAACGGCCCTTTAAGTATCAGAAAAGGTGGTCCCTAGTTCCATGGAGACAAAGTTTCGCATTCCGAATTAAGATTCAAAATTCCCGCAAAATGGAGTTATCATGAATGATTAGCACCATATTCATGATTAGGACCGTCAGTAACCCTTACAAATAGACTTTGATTAAAAGACTGGTGAAAAAGATAAGATACCACAAAGGGGCAACTTGGTGTCACATCTATTACACCAAGAGTCAAAGTCTTTTTGTAAAGGTTACTCACGGTTCTAATCATGAATATAGCATTGATTCATGCTAACTCCATTTTGCGCGAATTTTGGAATGCCAACTCGATATGCCAGAACTTGTCACCACGAGGAATCGAACTAGAGACCCCTTTTTCTGGTATTCAGAGTGTCATTCAGGAAAAATGAACCATGGTTCTGCGGTTTACCCATGTGCCTCTATATCATGCGAAAGACCGTTTCAAAAAGCTTGGCACGCCTTAAAAACCTTCCTTGTTAGAGCTCTTTAGTTCTGTTAGAAGTTGGGTACTCCACTTCATTTTGCTAACGAACACTGCAACATACATTCCAGCATGCAAATTGGCATCCACACCGATAAAAACCCACACACCGATTTTGTGGTTTACATACTAAAGTTATTCAGACTAGACTCGAATGTCGTCGCATGTATCATGAAAGATATTCAAATGAATCCGAGAACAAATACGATTCGATCAATGATGCAGTTGCCTTACTCCTTCTCTTCAACGAATATAATGCTGGGGTGAATCTTCGCAGTTGTGCCATCCGGATGTACGTATTCCTGGAAATAGAATGCTTTTATTCACAAAATAATGAATGCACGGTCATTGATCCCTACTATTATTCGCTAGGCATGCGTGGGTGTGTGTACGTGGTTCGTGTGCCCGTTCGTCCGTCTGTCTGCCTGTGTGTCACGAAATTCGCACCAGTTGTTAGGGGCTAATTTTGAGATTTTGAACAAGAGGTAGGACAGGAACATCTATGCCGGGTGACATAAACTGTTAACATGTGATAAAAGCTGTTAAGAGTCGATAACAAGGAGTGTCATGGAATTCATTGCATACCTCAGCAGCACAGAGGCTCTAATACGTGATGCAACGATGGGGCGAGAACAGATATGACAGGTGACAGAATGTGATAACAATGGATAAAAGACGCTAGAGCGCAAGGACGCGAAGATCACAGCGTGCGCCTCAGCAGTGGAGAAGTGATTTGGTCGTCCATTTTTCTATTTTTTATTCTTTTTTTTCTTTCAAAGAGTCATATTTAACGGATGATAAAGCAGGTGATAAGGGCCGATAAGAGCAATTACAGCAATTACTGATGCTGTTCTCAAGATGAGCGACAAGAAATACATTCTATTCCATTCGTGATGTCGTCGTATGGTCATTGTTTTCCGTAAGTCCTGATAGTGAGCAGCTTAAGTAATAAACTTACTCGGCTAATGGATCATGTCGGTCTCCGAAAAATGATGGATGTTTATGGGTATCGACAAGTTGCGGGGAATTTGCTTCATCACTAGCACTAGTATAATGAATTTAACTCTTACGAATAGATAACACCAGTCAGATCCATTAAAAGCACGCATTTCGCCTGATATACAAGAACTCAGCTATGCTCAGCCTACTAGAACCTGCCTTGCTGCGCGGTAGCGAGCGGAGCCAAAGAGCCGTGAACTTTTTTCAGGAACGATAGGTGCTTTAGAGAGTCGGAATTAATTGAGTAGCATGGATGTCAGGATAACAATTATGTTGAGTGAAAAATCAATTTCAGCATAAACAAAGTGAAACATTTTGAACTGGATTGTGAGATATCCTGATCGAATGGCTGCGTTTTATAGACTCCTGAATCAGGGCATATCTCGTCAATCTCACTACTACTTCCATTTACAATGTGGTTGCTCTTGCAACATCGGTCTCAATTTATGGAAATCGACGGACGGATTTTTAGGCAAGTTCGATTTTATTTTTTATATTTTTTCTAGTGCAAGGAAGGGATAGCCGAGTGGTTAAGAGGTTAGACTCATGTCTGCACCTCTGAAAAAACGCGAGTTCGATCCCTGCCGAGGCTCTAAACCATGCCTTGCAAAAATTGCCAAAATGGTTCTAGTACCAGCGTCAGGCCCAGGTTGACAGGCCGGCTGATGAACATCCCAGTCACAAGAAATATGTCTAAAGTCAAAAAAAGATATCAGTGATAAAGCTAGGACTTCACCCGGAAGTGGCGCGCAGAACCCCCGCCCGAGTTCTGTGGTCAGTATGCGAGGGCTACCGAGGAGTGAACGGCCTCGGCCAAAGAAGCTAGTTCGAATTGGGACTCTGAACGTAAGATCGCTAACTGGGAAGTCCCGAGAGTTGCTGACCTGATGACGCGCAGGAACATCCAAGTCCTATGCCTTCAGGAGAGCGATGGAAAGACGCTAAGGCCAGAGAAATCGGGGAAGGTGTCAAGCTCTACTACAATGGAGAAGACACCAAGCGGAACGGCGTGGCCATAGCGGTAGCGGAGTCTCTCAAGGACTATGTCTCCGCAGTGAACAGGATCAGCGATCGAATCATGGCTGTGAGAAGGGGTACTGGACCATACTCTCCGTAAACGCACCGCAAACCCGGTGCCCCGAAAGTGATAAGGACGAGTTCTAACTGAGCCTGGACAAAGCCATAAGATCGGTTTCGGAAGGCGACTACCTGACCATAGCAGGTGACCTGAATGGTCACGTCGGTAGTGACAGAAGAGGCTTAGAAAGAATGCACGGAGGAGGGATAGGAACGAGGAACGCTGAGGGACAGAGGGTTTTGGACCTGGCTACAGCCCGCGACCTGGCAGTCTGCAGCACGTTCTTAGCGAAAAGGGAATCACAAAAGGTAACCTACAGCAGCGGAGAGAGACAGACGGAAATCGACCATGTGCTGGTAAGAAGATCAACCCTCAAAACTGTGAAGGATAACAAAGTTCTACCCGGCGAAGACCTGGCTCTCCAGCACAGGCCCCTCCTGGCAGACATTGCGATAGACCTCCCCAAGAAGGCAAGGGTAAGAACCGAGAGGAGAATCCGGTGGTGGAAGCTGCACCAAACGGAAAAGGATGAGACGAAAGATAATGGAAGTCGGCCTCCCAGTTCCTAACGGGCCAATACAGCGGACTTGGGGCAGCGCGGCTGATACCATCCTGCGATATGCCAAGGAGGTCCTGGGCGAGACGCGAGGTGGATTCAGGGGAGACAAGGCAGCGTGGTTCTGGAACGAGGAAGTCCAGCGAGTCGTGAAGCAAAAGAAGGAAGCATACAAGCGCTGGAAGACCCGGAGCCCCGAAGACCTCGCCATCTACAGGAGTTGCAAGAGGCTCGCTGAGGCTGCTGTCGCCAAGACGAATAACACGGAAATGGACGCCTTGTACGAGAAGTTGGAAAGCAGAAACGCGGAAAAGTTCGCCTTCAAGCTTGCTAAGGCCGGCCATCGCGCTACCCAAGACATCAGGGTGGTGAAAAGTGTGAAAGGCAGAGACGGTGTCATCCTAAAAAAACCAGTCGAAGTCAAGAGGAGGTGTTAAGTGTACTTCACGGGGCTTCTGAACGAGGAGTTCCCCCACAAGAACGACTCAAGGGCAGAGGCTACAGCTGGTCCCACCGCACTCTGGACTAGGGATGAGATTAGGTGTGCACTTGGGAGGATGAAGGTTGGAAAGGCGGTTGGCCCAGATGGGGTGCCGAATGCATGGAGGACAAGTACCATCGTCCCCATCTTCAGACAGAAGGGCGACGCAATGGACTGCTCCAACTACCGCGGGATCAAGTTGACTGCTCATATAATGAAGCTGTACGAGCGGCTAGTCGACAAGAAGCTGCGGGAACTGGTTCCGATCTCTCAGGAACAGTTCGGGTTCATGCCCGAAAGATCTACAACGGATGCCATCTCCATCGCAAGGCAAGTGATGGAGAAGTATCGAGAGAAACGCCAACCCTGCTACCTAGCCTTCCTCGACCTGGAAAAGGCGTTCGACCGGCTAGCGCGAGCAGTGCTATGAAGGTCGCTCAGGGAAAGAAACGTGACAGAACACCTGATCTCGCTGGTAAAGGATATGTACGAAGGAGCCAAAGCAGCGATACGCACCCCTCACGGTCTAACAAAGGAGATAAACATCACGGTTGGGGTGCATCGAAGGTCAGCTCTGAGCCCCTTCCTGTTCCTCCTAAAGCTCAATACTATGGTCAAGGACCTCATGGAAGGACCACTGAAGACCATCCTCTACGCTGACGACATAGCTCTGATAGCGGATAGCAGGACGGCACTTCAAGCCAAGGCGCAGAGATGGCAGAATGTCCTGGCAGAAGGCGGGCTCCGGTTGAATGTCAAGAAGACCAAGTTTCTGAGCTTCGGAGAGGGTGCAGAGCCGATCGTAACGGCCATGGTGAGACCATCGAAGAAGTGGAGGACTTTCACTACCTCGGAAGCGATCTGGCAACCGATGGCAGTGTGGATCAGGTGTGAAGGTGGCGCCGTCAACCTACGATGGGATGAAACGGAGGGAGTCCACTGAAATCTTCTGCGATCGAAGGTGCTCCGAGAACGCCTCTAAGAGGAAAGTGTTCCCAGACGAGGTAGAAAGCTGCGAGTGGCGCTGGCACGGGCATGCGAGTGCTGGCCCGGGTGAGGATAGGACGACGAGGAGGGCAGCTCACTCCGACTGAATGAGGATGACCTGAGGTGGGCCTGGCGGCTGGACGCAGGAGCTGGACAGGGTGAGAAACGAGGATGTGAGGCGTATGAGACTGCCCAGTCAGCTAGGTACGGGGATCAGCGTTCTACGGATAGGGGATGTTCAAAGAGGCCACAGGAGAATCGATAAGACGCGAGGGACCTCGAAGTTTCACAGGGCGAGCGGACCGGCTGGAGAAGCCAAAGAAGAGGTGAGAGAGGTGTATCAAGAAGATTAGTGAATCATGGCCACAGCAGAGAGACGCCTGGAAGATGAAGTGGGCGACGAGTGACAATCAGACAGCGGACCCTGCGACTAGCGCGGGACTACGCTAGGGAAGGAAGAAGAGATATTTTTTTTAGTGCAAAGACTAGTCTTCTGTAGCGAGCCAGGGACGTTCAACCGAGGAATTAGAGAATTAAGCGGTCCATTGGTTCCCTGAAAACCATCCTCAGCCACGGGACTCGCCCTTGCTTGTACTCTTTCGCCTTACCAATTCCTCAGTCTCTACAACAGAACCAGGAATTATGAGAACGTCATTCTGTGAGCGAATTGACAAATCCGAGGCTCACCATCGAACGATTGACCTTATCCTGAAACGGTGCGATTAATAGGCGGCCTCCATTCTCAAGGACGATAGCAGGCATCAGATTCTGCGATAGTCACGCAGGCCCTCCGTTAGAGCTCAAGTTTAGGTCCGGGCATAAGTTTTTAGAAGCCTTTAGGCTTTTCGACTCAATTACTTATCTGACTTTCTGCTTATGCTACTTTATTGAGCTATGTGATGACCAGCACATTATTCAATAATAACCAAATGCGAGGTGGGTATTCAGTGGCTCTCTTGTAGATATTTCAAACGTTTCTGATTTGGATGTCGATTTTTGACTTATAGGATTCAAGGAATTCTTCTCCAGAAGGATGAGAGGGACTGAGGAGGGATAGTCGTCGTTGACGCAAGATTTAGTGCTACAAGGTGGAGCTGTAAAAAATGCCGCTGAGAGTCTCAATTTGTAGATTTTCTAGCAAGCGGGCTCACTACTCGGCAAAACAATATATCTTTGTCGGCTTTGCCTTTCAAGTTGAAGG